CTGGTGTCGGTTGCTATCGACAGCTTTACACCTCTTTTATAGCGCCGGCTATCAGTATATATCATGCCTACCGTTGACCAGCTTCCACACTCAACTCTGCCATGCCCATAGAAATTCCCTCTTCGAACCAGATACAGACTCCAGCTCCAACCACGGAGGGCAACCTAGCCACCGGCTCTGACACTGTCGAGACCACCCCATTAGTCAGAGACGCAGATGCTGCGGGTACAGCTACGGATGATCTCTTACTTGCTCAAACCCTCCGAGACTGCATCACATCCCTTCCACAATCGTCGTTGCTCTCCCCCCCACCCGAGCTCAATGATGATTCCGAGAGGAGTCGCTCATCGACGCCCGATCAGGCAGATGCCGCAGATGTGGCCGAAGAAGAACAAGAGTCAGAGGTGGTTCAGATGGCAAAGCTTTTGCGCAGGAGTCTGTATATCATGGCAGGACTTGGCGACCCCTCGGGCGTATACCAAAACTCCTCTTCCGAAAATAACACGTCATTTGCCATTGTAAGTTGTTTAACCTCCCACCTGCTGCCATTCGCTGAAGAAGGAATGTAGGGTAATGATGTCACGGAGATACTGCGAGATTCGTTGTACGCCGTTACGGCGATGCAAACTATACGTGATCAGCAAAGAGCCCTACAGGTCGAGGATTCTCCCGACCTCGAGTCCTGGTCGAATCTAAATCCCTCTGCGAATCCGAATTCCTCGTTGAATCCAAATCCCTCGTCGAATCCAAATCCCACGTCTACTCCAAATCCCCAGACAACCGCTCTTGTGGCACTTAACCGGCTCATGAGCAGCCCATCTGGTCCACCATGGGGAAATGATGTCATGAAGTCACTCTGCGAGGCGCTGTACACGGAGCCTTTCGACGAGACGCGTACATCCTACCTCTTCTGCGTAGCCGCATCTTTCAATGTTATAGCTTATTGTGACGAGGCGGTTAAAACATCCGACGACTATATCAACCGCATTCGCTGTCTTGTTGGTTTCCTGGAACAGTCTAAAGGAAACGGCACAATGTCAGAGTTTCTCGACCTTGCTCGGGCTCAGGTTCCTGGATGGGCGCTCGGTGAGAAAGAGGCAAGTTGTCGGTTTAGCCAAATGAACTAGTAACTGAGGCCTCAATCCCACAGTACATCAATGCTCGCTATATTCTTTGGACTTTATTTCACTGGCCTATGTGGGTGGCAGACAATGGTGCTACGTTCAGAGACAAAATCGACGCCATCTTCCCCCCTTTGCGAAAGCGAAGACAGTCACCCTCCTTCTCTGTGACATTGTCTGATATCTTTGTCGCTGGGTTGGAAGTAGTTCCCACCACATTTATCCAGGAGCATCTCCTCGTCACGGATAATGTGGTCAAGATACTTCGCCTAACCATGGATGACATGAGGCCACTGGAAAGATTCAGCACCAACCGGGCTGCGATGTGAGCTAGTTAATGATTCCTTCCGCACATCTCAAAGTGACTCACACTTGTAGTGCTCTGCAAATTGGCAGCCTAGGTGTAGAGATATTCTCCTCACTATACGAACTCTACGGAAGGAAGAAAGAATTTGAAAGGGCTCGCTCCCTTAGGCTCCTCCGCAACGACAATCAAGAAGACGACGAATTATCCCTCCAACTCATGTTCGACCTTTATGCTGTCAACAACAAGACGAAACCGCAGGTAAGTGAGTTCCTGTTACTCTAGATCGATCTCATGTTTGCCCCAGGTACTGGCCAGTCGTGTTTTGGCTTTGAACAGTCTTGTTCGACACCGCCAGTCTTGGATGGTATCTCTAATCCGGGACATGAAGGCTAGCAAGCGGGAACAGCCATTTTTATTCTGGGGAAGCGTAGTGGCTTTCCTGTTTGGAATATGCACAGTTATACAAACTGTAGTGTCTGTCTGGTCTCTCCAGCTTGCATTGGTAGCATCCTAGGATTATTTCAAGCTGCCTTAAATAATTAGCGAGAAAAGGATTAACGGCGGAAGCTGAGCAAATCATGAAGACTTGATTTGGTCTTCTTTTGATCGTCGAGTTACAGGGCGGATCGCCTAACGATCTCTTGAAAATTTAAATGAATGGAGGGAGGGCATTACCTCAGCGTTCCAGCTCCAGGCGCAGACGGCCGTACGCCGACCTTTCTAACAATTCGAAGGCAGAGAGAGCTATTGTCGCAGCCGTCACTATACACCTGCTAAGGACCGGACCGAACCCGGGTCGAACGGGCTAAGACTGTATGCATGCACACTACGTTATGCTGCACAGGGGCGAACCGGTTCGCATGCGGTCTTCATATGGTGCCGCCAGAAAACTCGTGCGCTCGGCGACGTATGTGGTTGAAAGCAGGAAGAAATAACCAGGAAAGACCCGCAGATAAAAAAACAACGGCCTATCATCTAATGAGCTGGTCCCGACTTGGACGGGTCGTCTCCGCACGGAATGCCACACGATTAGAGGCAAAAAATATCGACAGCCTTTGACGAGTTTTGCAATTACCCTTGGGTAGAGCTGAAATGAGAGCGTGGAGGACGGTGGGACTGAGTGTTGTACAAATGACGATCAATTGGGTGAATGCTGTCCTGGATTAGTATTGGTCCCTCGGACGTTTGGATGGGTGGATTAATTCTAGATGCATTGTGAATGCAGCCGGAGCGCAGCTTCTTGGACTGAACCCGAGGACAATGCGGAACGCAGCTTCATGAACCGTGGGGTAAGCGCGAGTTCGAATCCGAAGCTGGGACCAAAGTTTGTGTACCAAAAGTGATTGACTCATGAAAAGAAAGCGGGTGTATAGCTGGCGGTCCCTGAGGAGCGGAGGATTTGAAAATTGGGAGGACAAGCAAGTTGGAGCCGGTTAGCGAACTGATGAATGAAGCAGGCAAAGAACGGGGGGCTGGCGTTGAGTACGGGTGGTTTTTTTGTGAGGGATTGGATGACTGATTGGTAGTACAGTTCTTCAACTAGGGATTCAAGAAGCCGAAGTGAAAATCGAGGAGGTCAACGCAGGGAGTTCCGAGATAATGTGGACCCCTGAATGCGAAGGGATACAGACGGCACGACACGATAGAGCGATGGCACTGGACAAACGGCCGTGGGATTGCGCAGGTCCGCAGTCAAAGGCAGCGCCGCGGTAGGAGATCCAGTTGACACCCGAGGGGTTTGCGTGAGTGGCCGTGCCGCTAGCGTACGTCGGATGCCGGCAATTGTGGTGGCGGCAGCTCGTGGTGGTAGCGGAGAGCGAGGAGCTTGCAATAATTAATACATGTGGAATTACGTCCCAAGATACCTCGTTCGATTCGGGGCCAGTCCATCCCGCTCCGAGTCCTTGTCGCGGATCCAACGTCGAAGCCAGACTTGATTCACCATCTGTACCGTCAGAATTATAGGGTATGGTCTTCACCTGGGGGAACTAGAAAGCGTACGACGCCGCAGCGCGGTGATTTACCTCATAGGCAAACTCCACGCTTAGAAAATCACGTCGGCTGCGCACCTAATGGTCTACATATCGGGTGATCAGCGTTGATTTTCTGAGAGAAGACTGCAAATGAGACGCGCAGAATAAATCATTGAATGCGCTCACCTGGATTGGCTGCGAATGCCTCCTGCTTCAAAGAAATGGGACTTGAATCCGACACGGTCTCTTGATCTTGCACGTATAACGGATCGGTGAGGGGTTCCTGCCCGAATCGAAGAGTCAGTGAGCGGGTGAGTGGATCGAAGAGAGATGAAAAGCGACTGCAGGTACAGCAGTTTAGAACGTACCATTGAGAGGCGGGTGTGGGCACAGGTCGTTGACTGGGAGCATGGTATGAGTCGTGCGACTAGTGATGAGCAGTATAATTGGAAACGTACCGTACCGAACGCCGGCTGGTCCGTTGCCAAGGGCCATGAATGAACTGAGCGCTAAAACGAGCTTCGAGCGCCGATTCTTAGTGCATGAGGTCGATAGAGAAAGGAGCGCAGCATCTTCGGGCGACATATATGCGAAAGTCGGCGTGGCCCGAATCAGAACCTGGGATCAGACTTGTATACAGTAGAGGATTGACACGCCGCAGAGAAAGACAAATTTGCAAGGGTGTCCAGAATGAGAAGGGCAGTATCCAGTCCGAACGAGGAAGTACGCAGGTGGGCTAACCGCGAACACGAGCAGGCAGTCAGGTAGTTGAACACTCTTTAGCAGTCCAGGAGCATAACGATTGCGATAGTTGACCACTTGAGGAGATGGGGAGAAGATCGAGCGGAGCACAGTACGCGCCATTGGATTGATACGGATACACAGGTGGGAACCAGGATCAGCATGTGGCCGGCCTGGGAGTTGCTGCCCGCTACCTGACCAGCAAGACACGATAGAGCGATTACGGCGTACGCTCGACAATCATAGAAGGCAGCGCGCACCAGTGGCGCACCACAGCCAAAACAACGCCGCGTTACCGGAGATCCACTTGCTTTACGCGGGGTTTGGCGTGAGTGGCTGGGGCTGGCGGTGCTCAGTGTACATAGGTCATTGTGTGGTGGCAACCGGAGAGCGAAGAGAGCTTGCGCTGATTGCGGCATTAACCGGCCCCACGTGCCGCCGGCGCCGAGTGTTGTGGCGATCAAAGTCCGCCGATTAGGGGTCTTCGACACGTTGAATCAAGCTGCGCGGGGATGCGGGTGGCGAAGATAGACTTCAAGCCGGGAATTTAATTTGCTATCTGCTGTGTTCTTAATGGAGAACTGAGTCCGATGTGGCCTTGCAGACCCACACTCGACTGGAAGTTGGACTCGGAGAACTCATCCACAGGATTATCTATTCCTCTTTACTTGTATTCCTCTTTCTTTCCTGCTCGTGCCACATCCTTTCATTCCGTCTGAGTAATCATTGTTTTATTCTGGTTTGAGGGCAGAAATAAATATCGACGGAGCCGAACAGGATTTGCAATCTCCCAGTAGCCGAACGGATTCCCACCACAAAAATCTCACCTCTAACCACGCCCGCCGCTACACTGGAAACGTCCTCGTAGGTCACGGAAGTCCGCCCCGCAGGGATGGAAAACTCGGGGATCACCAACTCGGGGATCGCATTACTGGGATGCGGCGGTTCGACTCCGCCCGAGGATATGATCTGTTGCACGGCGTTTTTGTTGCCTCCTCATTCCTTCCATGTCGCATTTTCTCTCATCATCCCCTCGCAACTCTTTCGAGCGATCCTCGCGAGTTTTCCGCACCATTTAACGCACCTTGCCCTTCCGAACGAGACAATTCTGCAGACAATGCCCATTTGTGGATGATGTCTGCTTGACTTTACGACGCCTTCTTTCCCACCCAATGCAAACCGGGCTGAGTGAAACCAAGCTGAATTCAATTCAACACAAGAATCGTCCCCGTGGGTCACGGCAGGCCGCCCCATAATCATTACGTACTCGTCCCAGAGCAATAGTACTGGAAAGCCGGCGGTTCGACTCCGCCCGAGGACATGAAGCACAGGTGAAAAAGTATTTTCATTCTTGCATGACACAGAACTGTGTTTTCATTTTGGGACACAGGTTTCTACCACGCAATCGAGCCCGGCTCACCTTGAATGAAGACTGCCACGCCCCCGTGGTTCGACCGCAGACCGCCGCAGAAATTCACCGCACGTGAGAGACTCGTGCCAAAAGGGAAATACCATTGACTTAGGTCTTGTCCATGGGAAGCAACGGTGCGGTGGAACGCAAGAGAGCCAGTTGGGTGCATTGATACAATCTTGTCTCCATGTCCAGTTGGGATTTTATGGACACAATGACGAGCCGTGATACCTGCAACCTGAAACAGGGACGCCGACGAGGAATTCCAAGAAGAGGTCCTCGACAGACACAGTGGAATGAATGGTCCGGAGGACATCAAATTCTCATTCTCGCATGCGAGAGCATACGACGCGTGAGCCTGGAGAGGCTGCGCTTTGCCGCAGTAAGTGCCAGAGATTCTACACAGAGCGGTGTCGGAAGGACGCGGAATTTGCAAGATGTAGCATATTGCCGTACACCATTGGTTTCCCCGTAATTACGCCACAGCAGGCTCAGAACGTATTGATCCCCGGATAAATTCACTGCCTGGATGACCGAGCGTCGAACCAGGAAATACGAAGCAGTTCGGTCCAGGTTCTATCACCATCCTTGTTTGTCGCGGAATAAATTGTAAAGGTACATCGGTCAAATCAGATGCATGAGAAGGTGCTACGTATTCAACCCAACAAGGGAAGACCCGCGATTCCGGTATCCAGTAAAATAGGGAAACTAGATATTATTTGCGGTGTCCTGGATAAGCGCAAGAGCATCCGGAGATCGAGGCTCTTGTTACAATCCTCTATTCTCCACGGTAATAAATTAACCAAGGAGAACCCTTGCGGGCGGGCCCCCCACAAGACGGAAATGTGGAATTACCCAACCCCGGGGACCCTTTGAGGCGTCGAGTCAGTTAGACGCATGACTCAGGCCAGTTACGCAGCGAGCATTCTGGTAACCACGGGATCACCCGGCAGTTTAATGTCACAGCATTGACAGGCCACCAGTCAAGCGTCAAAAGCCACAAGGCCAGGGCAGATACCAGTCCCAACCCGAAGGAAATGCACCAAGGCATTTTGTACGGATCAGGTAGACGGGACCAGAACTTAGAAGAATCCGTATGGGACAGAGTCCACCCGGATTTCAGGTACAGTTGCCGCCTAGGAATGAGCTCACAAGGAACCCTGTACGTAGCTAGGCTCCAGAGGACAAGGGCAAAAGCACCAGATAGTTTCTGTCATTTTCGGACGCAGATCCCGAAGTCTCGGAGGCCGGTTACCGAATGCCCGAGAACCGGTCATGTCACATGTCACATGACCAGGCTGACTCCGACTCTCCTGGCTGAGTGAGCCACCCGAAACAAAGAGACCGCAGTGGAGGGGCGCCCCAGCGCGAGCAGCGGGCCAGGGGCCATCCAAAATGGACCCAGAGGGAGTCCTGTACGCAAGATGAAGCCCCCAAGTCAAAGAAGTGGCCAAACCCGCCGAGTACGTCGTTGGCGAAGCCTTCGAGGATTCGGTGGTGGTGGTACGGATCACACGTAGCGGTTGTAAGGGCCGATTTTGGGCCCATCTCGCGCAACGGCCTCCACTGTCGCCCAGCACAACCTCGAGCAAACTCAGGGCGCACTATCTCAAACACCCTCGTTCGCCTACACCCCCACAGCCCGAAAACACGGGTCAGTGGCCGAGGGGGGTTGCATCCATCGACCTGCGGCACATCGCGTAACTGGTTGCCGCAGTAGAGGCATTTGTGCTGGGAAGAGGTCAGCAACGAAGTGGGTAGCGAAAATGAAGCAAAAGGAAAAGAGCAAGAGCTCGTATGTAGGCAGTACACTCTCCCCCCATTTCGCGGGTCCTTGAGTGGTGGACTCGAGACAGAATAAGAATTTGTGGTTCAGAATTTGTGGTTCGATCAGATTTGAACTGAGAGAACTTGCGCTGGCTCCATCTTCGAAGCTTACAGCTATTGGCAGTACCGAAGGCGCGAACGGAAATTTTCTGTTTTGGGATGTTTTCAAAGAATTCCCGGTATCTCAGTCAGTTCTTACCCGATTCACATAAAAATTAGATAGATCTACTCAGCTAATTCATGCTGAATTAGTGATAGAAAAAAAAATGGCGAAAATAATATATATTCGGTGATCTGGGTTTGCGGGGCTTTTTGAGAATCAATGCTGTCTATAGACATATAGTCATGTTAAAACGACATAGATTTTGGTCAAGGAAGGCATTGACACATTACGAAAAATGTCATAGAGTTCAATTTGCAATGAGTTCAGCGCTGGATTCAAATATCACAATGTTCTGATTGCAGTGTATACGCCCATTGTCCTGATGTGTTCACAAGCATGATAGACCGAACTGTTGAGGATTCTGACTGTATGACATCTTTCGGAACGTATTGTAGCATTACCGGGCAAAAATCCACATCATTTGGATGTGCCTAGATGCCTGTAAACTGCATTGATACCCAAAAATGCCCCACAAACCCATGTCACTGAATATACATTATTTTCGCCACTTTTTTCTATCACTAATTCGGCATGAATTAGCTGAGTAGATCTATCTAGTTTTTATGTGAATCGGGTAAGAACTGACTGAGATACCGGGAATTCTTTGAAAACATCCCAAAACAGAAAATTTCCGTTCGCGCCTTCGGTACTGCCAATAGCTGTAAGGTAAGATTGGATTTCTAGCTGCAGCCTGCAGATCCCCTGTGCTGGTACTCTTTCCTTGTAGTTTCAGCTCGGATTAGGATTTCTAGCTGCACCCCCAACCACTATTCTTCCCGTTCTCACCCACCCTAGAATAAAACGAAGAATCTGGATTATTATTGAACTTTTGCGGGTGATCCGTACCCCAGCAGTACTCGGCCAGAGGCGCGGCTGTCCTTATTTTCGAATTGTAGTGATATTTTGTTTACGTCCTCTAAACCTTTCTATCACTTGAAGATACTAGCAAAAGAAACCGTCCTACGAGATGATTAGAGGAATAAGAGGAAAATAAAACAGAAAAAACCCACTGACTTCCTCCTTCGACCAGGGAACATCCGTTGTGGCCCTGTGGCCGACTGGAGCAGTGGCAGGCCATATCTCAGAGTGGCCTGGAGTTTCATTGTCTTCGCTGGGTATAATATCTTCTCTGGTCAAATACAGAACTGGGTTCGAAAAGTTTATCAATGATGAGGATCCCAGTTCAGAAGGTTATCCCTGTTGAAGTCCCTCTAGTATGTCAGTGCAGTCTCCATACATCCGGATTGTTCGGCTCTGGCTGATGCCGGGCACCATTGCCGGTCGATGAAACGCCAATGGAGATCAGCGGCTCACACCTTTGTGCTCGCATTTCCGCTGGCAGCCGGTGGATCTCGATGAGTTGTCGCTGGGATCCTAGTGGTTTCCACGGGATATTGCTGTATACCAATGCAGCCAAGGTTCGTGCCCTGGCCACCGGATTCCATCGGGTTCCATTGGAATTCAATGGTTTAACTTCTCGGATGCGCCCCTGATTTTGGGTGAAGGCCAGGAAATTCCACACAGAATGGTCTCCTCAGATTTCCTTATTGCTGCCTCGGCCGTGTAAATTGTTAAACAAACAGTCGCAAGCAATCAAATTTGCATCAAATCAGATGCCACGATCCCAGTCCAATCGCCTTTTCCAGGCCACCTTGCTGAGGTGATAGCCTCCCTCAGATTCCTTTGTTGTTGCCCCGGCCATGATTCGCCGGGGGTTAAATTTTCTGTGCGCGTGTTTGGGGGTCCATCCACCCAACAAGACTATGATTCGACCTGAAAATGAACACTCATTCCACTTCTAGACTGAGAAGAGATAAAATATGTGCATAGCCACAAATTCAGCAAATATTCCATAACGTGATTCCCCTGGGGTTAAAATTTCTGTGCGCATTTTTGGGGGTCCATCCACCCAATCAGACCACGATTCAACCAGAAAATGAACACACATTCCACTTCTGCACCGAGACGAGATAAAATATGTGCATAGCCATAAAATTCAGCAAATATTCCAGTACCAAGTTGGCCAGTGTCGGAACCGTTCCGACACGCAGATGCAGCAGTGGATTGGCTTTCGAATTTTCTGTATATTTTTGAATTCACCATGGTCAACGAAAAAGAAGGGCCGCTGTCCCAGTACCCAGAGAGACGTTGTCGGAACCGTTGCGACATACAAGTGCAGCAGTGGATTGCTCTAGCAGACTTCGAATTTTCAGTTTATTTTTGAATTCACCATGGTCAACGAAAAAGAAGGGCCGCTGTCCCAGTACCCAGTGAGACGGTGTCGGAACCCTTCCGACATACAAGTGCAGCAGTGGATTGCTCTGGGAATTTTCTGTATCTTTTTTAATTCACCATGGTCAACGAAAAAGAATAGCCGCTGTCCCAGTACCCAGTGAGATGGTGTCGGAACCATTCTGACACAGCGGTGCAGCAGCCGATTGCCCTTCGAATTTTTTGTTCATTTTCAGATCACCATGGTCAACGAAAAAGAAGAGGCGCTGTCCCAGTACCCAGTGAGACGGTATCGGAACCGTTCCGACACACAGATGCATCAGCGGATTGTC